AGTAGTAGTAGTAGTAGTAGTAGGAGTAGGAGTAGTTAGTAGGAGTAGTCGTAGTAGTAGTAGGAGTAGTCGTAGTAGTCGTCGTAGTAGTAGTAGTAGCAGCAGCAGCAGCAGCAGCAGTAGTAGTAGTGGGAGTAGTAGTAGTAGTAGTAGTAGTAGTAGTCGTGGTGGTGGTGGTGGTGGTGGTGGTGGTGGTGGGTGGTAGTAGTGGTAGCAGTAGTAGCAGTAGTAGTAATAATATTTAATAGTCGTTATAGTAGCAGTAGCAATAGCATCAGCAGGAGGAAGCCGTCGTCGACGAAATGGGACGAGGAGAAATTTTGGCCATAGCAGTGTCAAAAGATTTCATCAAATTCATTTTCACCGTCAGCATCATGTATGTCCAGTCTTGCATCATGTATGTCCACTCTTCTGACCCGGCAGAGGTGAGCCCTCCTTCGTACATCTGCACGTTATCGCCAGCGAAGTGGGGATGTCGACCGCCGTTCGCCAGCACGCTCCCGACGCCGCATCTGCGGTTCCTGCACCCAGCTTGCACGCCTACCACGACTATGACTGGAACATCTGTGATGACAATTACCACTGCTACTCTGTGCAGTTCTGCTTGGCTGCATCTCCTTTTTCATCTTTGGAACAGCCGTACTAAACAAGGCAAGGCGCCTCAGCCTTGCAACAGCCAAAACATGCCCCTGACACATGAGGCAAGTCCTTGTAAGTGACTGTAGCTGTTGCGCCCGCGGCCTGCTGCAGTGGCTAGGCAACCCAACAAACTTGCCACTCCTGACTAGTCAAACGAGTGGTCGAGCCTAGGTCTTCATGACAGCTTTGTGTCAGGGACAGTGCAGCAGGGTCTTTCTCCCGGTCCCCACAATGGCAGACGCTGTCCATTGCTCAACGTGCTTGAACCACTTGAGCTTAATCGGTTTTGTCGAATGGGTCAACAAAAACCTTTTGACGATGACCTGACTCGGGCTGAGAAGTACCGAAGCGCGTGACTTCTCCAGCGCATCCCGGGCCTCTGCTGGACGCGCGTCGTTGAAACTGCGATCGCACCAGGCACCCTGCAGGAGAGAGCAGCGGTCCCGTTAGGACTCGGTATTCGTGCTACTACGGTTAATGATATAAATCCTGCATTACCCATAATAAGGAACATACCATAATTCTCACTGTTTAGGGTCCTTACGGTAATGCAGGATTTATATCATCAACAGTAGTAGTAGAGAATTTCCCACGAAGCCCTTCCCTCGAGCTGGGGCAGCTGCCGCAGTGCCGCGCGAAGCGACATCCAACCCGTAGCCGCCTTTTGAATTCTACGTGTCCGGGCTCTTACTCTCATATTGAAAACGGAACCTCAGCTTCGGGTTCAGAACGCAGGTTTAGGATTCGAGGCTTTCGGATAATTCTCGGTTTTTGTGGGATGCTCGGGCAACAGTAGCTTGGACTATGCAAGCGCACTCACATACCCCAATTTGCCGGATGATAGTGTGCCCCGTTCTTTGATGACTATGATCTACAATGATGATGACTATGATATTCTATGATGACAACTATGACTATGATATATGATGATGATGATGATGATGATGATGGCCGGAGCTTATATGGTTGTGGGAGCATTTGGGCCCCTGCACAGTGGGGGGAAGTCCCCGAAACCCAATCGGGCCTGCGGAGACAGCACCCCAAGAGAGGCTCGGACTGTTCCCGCCGAAAGCGCCACCTGCATGGTTTAGGGTTTATGGGCTTTAGGGTTTAGGGGTTTAGGGGTTTAGGGGAGAGTTGTGACACGGGAAGAATCAGGCTCAAATAGGTGCCGTATGGATCTACGACTCGTGCAGAGCATAGAACACTGAAAGCAACAACTGCAGATCCCGATCAGCTTCAGCTCTCTTTCCGCACTACACACTGCAGCTACCTGGGCTCGGTGTCCGTGAGCCGCGCGGGCTGCGTCCTTCATGGGACCAGGAGCTCTGGCAAACGAAACTGGCTGACTGCTATGCTGCAGGATTCTCAGGCTTTTCATGGCTCCAGGCTCAAGGAGCATCCAGGCTCAAGGAGCGTCCTTTACGTGCACCCAGGAAGTTCTCATTGACGGCATCGGGGTCCTCTCATGGCTCTTACTAGTGTCTTCTGCAAAGACACATCAGGGATCTCGCGGAACACTACAGGGACCCCTTGAACATGCTTCAATCCCGAGAGCACCTCTGCACTGAGACCGGTAGCAAGCCTCGGTTGCCGACCCGGCAAGAGAATCGCTGAGACTGCGCCAGCTGGGACAGATTCCCAAAGCAGCAAGAGAGCGATGCAGAAACTCAAGGCCCCTACGTTGCGGCCGGACGTATCAGGCCTGGCCAATCTCAACACACATTGGTTCACTCTGACTCGTGCCTCATCCCGTTTCGACCCGGCAGAACGATGTGAGCGGTTGACCGAACCTGCCTGCCTGACGTCCTATTGCATCTACCCTGCGGTGCCTACCATGCATACATTTGATGCGTGCATGCAGGTTTGTATGATATGCGTGTGAGTACCCGTACATGTTCATGCCCAACAGATATACTTGCAAGCAACACGTTTGAGTTTTTGTGCGTGTGTGCGCGTGCATGTGCATCTGCGTTCACGGCGCGGCAACGAGAGGACTGCTGGATAGGTAGATGCATAGATAGATAGACAGATAAATGCAGTCCAAAAGTGCCGGCATCACTGCGTGGAGACACAGCGTCCACAGCCATGCGCCGGGGCAGGTCATCGGCAGTCGCCTGGAGAAAAGGGCTGTCGGAGGCTATGTCTATGTTCAATGATATATAAGACCCTCAACAACAGACAGAACAAAGCTGCAAACTACAGGAATGATAGCAATCGTAATCCCTCTGAGTATACACGAAGCGGTGGAGGGAGCTACTGACATAAATGCACACAACAACAACAACAGAATGACAGGAATGTTTGTGCAAACGAACAACACAATGTTTCATCACACTGACACTACAATGATGCCTATTTTGTACACCATAAAACACGAATACGAATGACCCGAACAAAATGAAGTGATTGTGGTACTGATCTGAACTACAACCACAACCACCACGACCACGACCACGAGCAGGACGACCACGGCGACGACGACGACCACCATGACGACGACGGCAACAACAACAGTACCAACAGTACCAACAACAACAACAACAACAGCAGCAGTAGCAGGAACAAGACTATCAGTATCAGCAACAAACATCACAACAATGACGCTGCTGATGAGAAGAATGAGAATTTGGCACAATGCAATGAAAAGCGGCGTATATAATACAAAAAAGGATCCTACAACGGCCGTTGCCGCAACAAAAACGCTGGTGATGGCAATAATCTGTGTGCGAAAGCCTCCAATTGAAAGATCCAGCCCCTATGAAGTCGCGGCACCTGTGGCTGCACAGCCTGGCGATCCGGTACCTGCCAGGGAAGCATTCGGGGCCCTATCCCCGGCAAGCCTCTGGGACCTCGGAAAGGGTTTAGGGTTTAGGGAAACCTCCACGCGCAACATCCGCTGGCAGATGTCTTACGACGTACGATCGATGCAGCGTCTGCGACAGTTCGTGAAAACCCAGAGGCCTCCAGGAACCGTCTGCTATTCCACGACACAGAAGCGGATATTGGGATAGCAGTCATGACTCACTAAATCACGAAAGGATCTTACACTGGTAATTTGTACTCAAGCATGTGGTAACGTCTGCTTGCCACCAAAGTCCTGCTGTCCATGCATAGTAATCCCACAGGCACTCGTTGCAACTGTATCGGCCATTCCCTGAGCCCTAAACCCCAAAATCCTTGCCCCCTAACACTGAAAACCCATGCGATTTTTACGGACAGGGTGTGGCTTAGATGGTGACGGGGCTTTCAGGCTGGGCATGCTGGTTGCAGCTTGGGTTTTGGATTTAGGGCTTTCCCTCCAGGTGTAGTGTAGACTTGCTGGCTTTAGTCGTTCAAGCTTCAATCCTGTCGGCCTCGTCCTGTGGTCTTTGCGAAAGCCTTGGCGACTCTGAAACAAGATTGCCTCGAAACTTCCCACAAGCAGCCCGAGACCTACAACCACCAACCCACGCCCTCATCGGGCGGTCACCATGCCGGAAGACCAAGAGAAACCTGGGGCGGTCTTCGAAAAAGGGCTGGTTTAGGACTTTGGCTTTCGGGGCTTGGTTGGCTGTGTGGTTTCTGCTTCAGCTTTGCTGTGGTGAGGTAGGAGGCTTTGTCATGCTTGGGTGCCCAATTCAGCCCCGCATGCTCAAGCGACCTGAGACCAGCAAAAAAGGGGCCCAAACGCAAATCCCAAAACTCAAATCCGGCGAGTCCCGATAAACCCACCCTTCAAACCTCCTGGATCCTTACCCGGGCAAGTTACGTGGAGATCTCATCCCAGCGGTGTCCGGGGAGGCTTCCTTGGCAAGCTTGGCTTTGCGGGTTGGGCCGAGTTTACCGTGGTTTAGGGTTTAGGGTTTATAGGGTTCAGGTCTGAAGGAGGAGGGTCAGGGAGTCGGAGGCTAACGGACCGACGGTGGCTTCCCGCATTCTGAAAACCACCGAGCCCCCAATAAACTCCCTCGTTTATTCCATGGCCGCAAACAGTGACTTGAAACGCCGGACAGGTCGAGCCTCGGCCGCATGGGAAGGACTGTCAGGTGCTGGCTGCCTGAGGTGTTTACTTTCTGACAAAGCCAGAAATTTGCTACTGCCTGACATGCAGCGGCACATATCTGATGAGATGTTTCCGGCGAAAGGAGCAGAACCCCTCCTTGCACCACGGATGTTCAGAGAGCCACAGATCATGCGACGAGGTGCATCCGCTTGCGAGGAACTCCCCCAAGGACTGGAAATGGGCCCTGGTAACCTCCCAGTGTCCTGAGCTGACACAGAGATGCCGTGGTTTGTCAGGTTACAAGGTCCTCGCGGGACATTCAGAGGCTTACAGAACACACCTTAGTAGAAAAATCAACAGGACAGTAAACATAGTAATAGCCGTCGTCGTGGTCCAACTGTTGGTGGCGGTGCTGGTGCTGCTGCTGCTGGCGGCGGCGGCGGCGGCGGTGGTGGTGGTGGTGGGAATGGTTGTGGCGGTTGTGGCAATGGTACTGATACTGCAGTCTGAGCCCACAGCTGCAGGCCCTGCAACTTGTCTGCAGCCACCTGTCCACGCGCACGCGACGAAAGCAGAGACGGCACAAATACCGCCGGCCTGGGAACATTAAAGATGCGAACAAGTCTAAACCCTCAACCCTAAACCTCAACCCTGAACCTCTGGAATCGAATCTATAAGACTACGCTCACTAAACCTGATAACTAAGCCTGGCATTCTAAGTGTTCAAGCTGTCCAGAGAGATCTCAGTACCGGGCCGTCGGCGACATCGGACTTCCCACATCCGTTGCTGGCGATGGTGGGGGTGTGAAGGCCTCAACTACCACTCACGACCATCACCTCCTGCCGTCCTCGCCTGATGGCTGCCACGACGGCTCACGACGGCTGTTGCCATCGTGAATGTCAACAAGTGATAGTTGATATCCGCCGACCCCTGCTGGGGCGGCGCCAGTGAAATCCCGAAGGGTCGGTTTTTGCTTGTCTTCCCGTCAAGAAGAAGTAACAGGCTTCAAAAGTTAGCGACACCGCCACCCCACCACCCACACCGTTTTCAGCGCTTCGCCTACACTGCCCCGTTCACCGTTCCAAACCCTCTCCGTCTCCACCGCCGTCAGCGCTTTGCCCA